TTACTCTTCGTGTTTCTGTTCTGAGTTCAAATGACCTAGATAAAACAACAGTTTGAATTAAACAGCAAGGTGGCAGTGAAATTATTATCTACTCTTGGAAAAAGACAAACAAAATAATCATAGGAAAGCCTGGGGAAAATGCAGGCAAACTAGTCCAAGGTCACTAGAGTAATGACAAATTTGCTAAATGCTGAAAAAAGAATTTCTGCTAAGTAGGGAAACTGTGAAGAAAACTGAAAGACATAAAGGATTTAAAATACAGTATTTTGCTTCAAGTCTCCCTCCTAAGTTATCTGACTGGGAAGCATAACGTATATGAAACAGATACAGTTAGTATTTTGTAATAAATATGTCTAATAAACATTATGACTAAGAATAGTTCATACTACAAACAGTGTGCTTAATGGTATTCTGTCAGCTCCATTTACAAATGTCATCCTTTCTATACAGGACAAAACAATTTCTTTAGGTATGCTCTATTTTTGGGCCAGGGGTAGCAACATTTTCTGATAAATAGCCTTGCTACAAACATACCATAAGACCACTGTGTATTTTACTTCTGTCTTTCCAGGAGACAGAGGAGGTTGCTATGAACAACTAACTGAACTTGCAATAAGTCCATATACTTATGGACTCAGGACTTACCTACACTGAGAACACACCCTGCTTCCTACTATCAATATGGCAAACAATAACAAGTCTTTCACTATCTTTGCAGTAGATTTGAAACCAGAGCAAAGCAACTCGAAACACTAGCTCAAATTAATACACAGTTCACCTGCTTACAAGCAAGTTTTATATAGTCTCAAATCTTTTATGCCATGTAAGTTCTATGTGTTGTTTCCCAGTAACGTTTGAAGGCATATATTATCTGAATATTTCAAAATAGCTGCCAGTAAAATATAAAACTATTGAATAAATATCCACAAATTACCTCTCACAATACTAAGGAAGATGACATTTGTTATTAAAACCACTGTTTTGTGTGACCACTGAGATTTAGAATTGCATTGCTTATTACATAAGAAACTTCTCAAATGTTGTGCAGCTGAATCTTCAATATTTTGTATTTTTAACATCTAGGTTGGCAAAGTTAAAATGTTACATCCTAATATGTGAAATCTGTGTTACAGCAAAGCCCTCTTACTCAAATTTATTAAGGGAGATTTCAAAATTAAAATCACATTTCTTTGAAATAGATCATCAGAGTTGATCCATTATCTTTTCTTGTAATATTTCTAATCTCTGACAACATAAGGCCAAAGGATTTGGTACCATTCAACAGCAAAAACTATCAATTGAAACCTCACTTTCATGACTATATCACATTGCACACACCACAGTTTGTCTGAGGCTGCACATAGCGTGATCTTTGTGGCTAAGCCACTATCCATCATATGTGAGAAGCCATGGCAGTCTGGTGAAGTTCCCACTGACTGGAAAAGGGAGAACATCACCCCCATTTTTAAAAAGGGAAAAAAGAACAATGTGGAGAACTGCAGGCCAGTACTGGCCTCTGTGCCTGGCAAGATTATGGAGTGGATCCTCCTAGAAACCGTGCTAGGACACATGGAAAATAAGGAGGTGATTGATGACAGCCAACATGGTTTCACTAAGGGCAAATCATGCCTGATTAATTTGGTGGTCTTCTGCAGTGGGGTTATAGTGTTGGTGGATAAGAGAATAGTAAATGACATCATCTACCTGGACTTGTGCAAACCATTTGACACTGTTTCCACACAACATCCTTGTTTCCAAATTGGAGCAACATGGATTTGATTGATGGAGCACTTGGTGGATAAGGCATTGACTGGATGGTTGCACTCAAAGGGTTGTGGTCAATGGCTTGATATCCAAGTGGAGAGCAGTGACAAGTGTTGTTCCTCAGGGATTGATGTTGGGATCAGCTGGACAGTGATATTAAGCACACCCTCAGTGAGTTTGCCAACAACACCAAGCTGTGTGGTGCGGTCAACACACTGAAGGGAAGGGATGCCATCTAGAGGGACATGGACAGGCTTTAGAGATGGATCTGTGCAAATCTCATGAAGATCAACAAGGCCAAGTGCAAGGTCCTCACATGAATCAAGGCAATCCCAAGCACAAATACAGTCTGGGTGATGAGTGGATTGAGAGCAGCCCTGCAGAGAGGGTCTTGGGGGTATTAGTGGATGAAAAACTGTGAGCCAGCAATGTGCACTCGCAGCCCCAAAAGCCAACCGTGTCCTGGGCTGCATTAAGAGAAATGTGGCCAGAAGGTTAAGGGAGGGGATTCTGCCCCTCTGCTCCGTGCTCATGAGACCCCGACTGGAGTGCTGAGTCCAGCTCTGGGGCCCCCAATACAAGAAGGACATGGACCTGCTTGAGTGCATCCAGAGGAGGCCACGAAGATGATCAGAGGGTTGGGGCACCTCCTTTATGAGGCCAGGCTGAGAGAGTTGGGGCTGTTCAGCCTGGAGAAGAGAAGGCTCTGGGGAGATCTTGTCGTGGCCTTCCAGTGCTTAAAGGGGGCTACAGGAAAGATGGGGAGGGACTCTATCAGGGGGTGAGGGGATAGGACAGGAGTAACAGTTTTAAACTGAAAGAGGGTAGATTTAGATTCTCTCCTGTGAGAGTGGTGAGACACTGGCACAGGTTGCCCAGAGCAGCTGTGGCTGCCCCCTCCCTGGAAGGGTTCCAGGCCAGGTTGGACGGGGCTGGGAACACCCTGGGCTGGGGGAAGGTGTCCCTGCTCATGGCAGGAGGGTTGGATCTAGATGATCTCTAAGGTGGCTTCCAACCCAACCCATTCTATGGTTCTATGACTTATTCTGCCTAGCCTTTCAGTGTCATTTTGAAATGCGTGAAAAATAGCCCAAACATTAATACCCTAAGATTTTTGTGTCTGTAGAGATTTACTCAACTTATCCATGACAGCTACCTTGCCTGTCACAGACGCAATCACTAGGCATTTAAAGCTATTATCATACTATTTATTGATCATAGTAATTATCTGTACCAGGAGCACTAAAAGATATACCTACACTGTCACTGTAGCTCATAACCTCCCCTAGCACCAAGGTCATATTGACAGACCTGTAGTTGCCTGGATCCTCCTTCCAGCCCTTCTTGTTAGATGGATGTCACATTTGCTAACCTCCAGTAAACCGGGACCTCCCCAGTTAGCCAGGACTGCTGACAAATGATGGAAAATGCCTTGGTGAGCACTTCCAACAGCTCCCTCAGTTCCCTTGGGTGGATCCCATCACACCCGATAGACCTGTGTGTGTCTCGGTGATGTAGCAGGTCGCTAACCATTTCCCCTTGGATTATTCTGCTCCCCATCCCTGTCTCCCAGCTCAGGGGGCTGGGTACCCGAGAACAATGGGTCTTACTATTAAAGACTGAGGCAAAGAAGGCATTCCTCCCACATCCCATAAAGGATGGAGATTCTCCTTAGGCTTCCTTTTGTTGTTGATGTATGTGTAGAAACATTTTTTATTGTCTTTTACTGCAGTAGTAGTTGAGCTTTGGCCCTTCTAATTTTCCCCCTACATAACCTCACCACATCTTTGTAGTCCTCCCGAGTTGCCTCCCCCTTCTTCCAAAGTTACTAAACTCTCTTTTTTTTCCTGAGTTCCAGCCAAAGCTCTCTGTTCAACCAGTCTGGTTGACTTTCCCGACAGCTCATCCTTTGGCATGTGGGGACAGCATGCTCCTGAGCCTTTAAGATTTCCTTCTTGAAGGATGTTCAGCCTTTCTGGACTCCTTTGTTAAATCTCAAAGCAACATATAAATGTGAAGCCTACGGCATCACTGTACAAAGCTGGTACAAAGGAATTGTAGGACTGTTGAAATGACTGCAAAGGTGACATGAACCAATTTTCTGAGCACTAGAAACTGCGACTTTCTAGGGAACGGATTAGGGCTCGGATTAGGGCTCTGTTGCATGCAAACATCTACCTCTGCTACAAGAGACACCAAACTCAGACTACTGATGCAACTCTTCCAAGTAAGCTCTCACTCATGAACAGAAGTTGAAACATCTATCCTGAGAAGTCATCAACTATCTCAAAAAGATAGATCTTTCTATAATCATCCTTCAGCAATAGGAAAGGCTAACATGTTACCTGTAATGAAATACATGCTGTGGCAAGATAAACACTGAATAGCACCAGCGAGGTCAGACCTTCACCAGTCCACCCGCGGCAGCTGCTCAGCAGCAATCACATCACCTCCGGCGGAGCGTGCACTGACCAAGTCAGTGCTAACCGGAGGAAGAAAGCTTCACTCTCTTCACTGCCTTAACCACTAACATATGTTTTCCCCCTGTTTGGGCAATTGTAAAGGGCATGAGGAACACATAAATATCATAGGTTATGTAGTATGGAAAATTTGCCTATAATAGTTTACTCTATCATATCAAAGAATCTGTGGGATTCCTGTCCAAAGAATTCAAAACTCTGGGGAGTTAAAGGTAAACTCGGGTAACAAAAGATTGAATGCTTAATTTAGCTGAAAATCTGGTAAGTGAAAAACATGATCTGTTAATAATTTGCAGGGCAAAAGCATTAAGGTCAGAAAGGAATTATTTGTATGATACACAGAAGAATGACAGCTGTGAGGATGCATCAGTATCTTCTTGAAATTATGCCACAAACTGATCTCTATTAACCTTGCAAAGACCCATAGACCCGAGAGGTTAATTTTCTGCATTTTAAGAAGGGGTAGAAATGGGCATTTTTGAGATCAATGATGGTGAAATTAAATGAAATCTAGGAAAACCACTCTCTATGAATAATGATACCAGGTGTTCTATAAAAAAAAAGTACCAAAAATGTTTAAAGTATTGCAATGTCCAACCTGCCACTGACACCTGACATTATAAAAGTGGAATAACTGCCCAAATAACCAATCCATTTGTGGATCTCTCTCAAAGTAGGATGTTACTAAATAAATATGAAAATCTACAATGTCTAAATGGTGTATTTAGTATAAATAGGTAACAACTTTCCCATGTGCTCTCAGTTTTATTTTTTTAATAGTTCACAGCATTAGTTTGAAAGACAAATTGTAAAAAGTCAGAAAGAGTACAACTCTGAATGTAAAACAAACCAAGTCCAAGAAGCTGATGTTCCAAAGCATAGGCAAAAGGCAGCCCTAACTTCTGAGATGTACCAAGCCCACTTATAGCATTACTCTTTTCAGAGAAAATAATGGACAAGGAATTCAGAAGTGAGGACAGAAAAGCTGAGTAGCAATAGAGAATGAAATAAAATGGGATAGCAAAGCAGGTTATTACTTACCCTCTATAAGCAACAAGTTGTTTCAGGGACATCCTACCCAAACCACCCAGGAAGAACCTCCCCTTTCTAATGACTCCTTAAAGACTGCACTGTTTTTATTTTCTAGCTGACTCAATCATGCAACTCAGAGTATGCAGCTTTCATATTGCTGCTAAACAATTCCTAGACAGGCCCCAAAATATCTCTGGATTTGCTTTAAATCTTGCGGTATTAAAACAAATACTGAGATTTAAGGTGAAAAAAACCTGCTGTGTCTGAGTCAGTGACTTCTGAATCCTAGGGAACCGTAACATAGCTGTGAGTGAGAAGTCCAGAAGCAAGTGAAGCAGCAGGAGCACTGAACCAACCAAAGCTGTGTCCCATGCTCATTTTAGAGCATGACTAATCTGAGTAAGCAAGGGCTTCTAAGAACAAACATACGTACATACATACATACATTTTGGCTTATAGCACTGTGATTGGGAAAGTGATCCAGCAAACTCAGTGGGACAGGCTGAAAATCAGTGTTGCTGTACAAGGAATGTTTGCAGGAATTGTCTTCTCATCCTTTCTTAGAAACTAAATAAACACTGCCATAAGTAAAAGCAGCTTCCAAACTATAGATGAAAAGCCCAAATGCAAATTTTATCATCTTCCCCAATACAACGCAAATAATAGCCAACACATCCAGGCTCAGCCCTTTCATTCATGCTGGACAATATATTTTCTGTTCTCCCACTACTCCTCCTCAATAGAAAGGAAAGGCTTTCTATTCCTATTTACATTTGTCTCTCCTTTTTCTATCCCCATAACTCCTATATCTATTTCACCCTTAAAGAAGTCTGTAGTTATGTGTCAACAAGACTGATGACATCAAGCCTTTAAACACTCTGAAAATAGTTTAAAGTCTTAAAATTGCCATACACCACACATGTGCCATACTGAACACTCCCTTTCAACACATTTTACTTAGAGTTGACTCCCCACCTCTTTTCTTTTAACCTGTCATTTAACAAAGTAAACATTTTGGTAAGAATTTTACCATAATAGCCTCTTTGCTGCTGAAAAAAAAAAAAAATAGTGTGATAGAGAGTTTCCTGCTTAACTGATGCTGTATAAAATGGAAACTACGAGTACTTTTATGACTTAGCAAAATCATAAAACAAATTACAAAAGTTATAGCTTCATACAGGAATCTCTAATCCTAAATCAGTTACCAAAGGATATCTGGGGATATTTTGTAGACTTAGTGTTTTTTACAGTATCTCCCACAAAAATAATTTCCTAAATAGAAACTCAGTGCTTATTCCAACACAAGATGCTGTATTTAGTTAAATTTTTTTTTCAGTTCAAAATATCAAAACTTCAAATGGGAAACATGGTTTTAAACTGGAAGAAATTAGAGGCAAAAGGACAAGAAGATAAGAAGATATCCTGCAGTAAACAGTTGTATAAAGCAGCAAACAAACAGGAGAAAGAAAAGCAGCACAAAATGGAGAGCATGATTAAAAACATAAGAGAAAGGGAAAGAAGCAACAAAGCCAGCATAACCCTCTCTCTTCTAAAATGTAGGTAAGTCAATAGTATATACATAACAAATACCACCTTATTAGAGATGGAGAAACTATGAGCCAAACCACTGATTCAAGCGTCAGGATGCAAAAAGACAATTACTGAAATCTACCAAGTATTTGCGAAACAGGAGGAACACTATACCTAAAAGCAGATACAAAACAATCGAGGGAAATAAGAACAGGAAAGTGGTTCTACTCCACGTAACTTAAGGAAGAATTCGGCAGACCCTGGCTCTGTCCAAGCCAGACCACGTTTCCCCAGCAGAGCTCAGCCACGGGAACTGGGTGCCCAGTGGGAAATCGGTGAGCTGCTTGCACTGCCAGATGCTCCCACAGTAAAGGCAAGTTTGTTTTAGGAGATTGATATGGGAGAAGTAAGAAAAGCTAATCCCTTTGCCTCACTACTGGTACATCTATCTGTTAAAAAACAAACAAACAAACAACACAAACAAACAACACAAACAAACAAACAAACAAAAAACCTGACCTCACACTGGAAGTGAACCCTGATGGGTATGAACACAGTGCAAAAATTTACTTCACAGCTGTTCAAAGGAAGGGGGTGTTTTCATCCCAATTAACTGAGATCAGCCAGGCTAGTACATATGAATACATGTGAGCATCAGTGCCAAGACAGATCTCACAAGGGGAGTTGAGAGAGGAAACTTTTCTCACGCTAATGAGCTGTGGCCAGCCCGAACATGTCCAGTGTTACGTAGGATTGTCCTGAGACCTTCTGTTGAAGAGGAGGTAAGACAGTTAACTGGCTTTTGGGTTCATTCTTACTGTGTTCTGCCAAATTCTTGGAGATAAGGAACTCCCTTGTTTTAACAGAATTTTTAAGGTATGGATTGAACAGTGTTTTTTCACTGAAATCTTGCAGCTTTAAAACGTCATTATTATTTTCATTTTTAGTTGAAGTCTGTTGGGATCCACATAAATCATCTTCCAACATTTCCAGGGGTTGGATTTCCTTCACTGGCATCAAAACTGGAAGCATTTGACTTCTGATATCTTGATCGGTAAGTATGTAAGTCATGGATGGTGAAAAGCATTTAGCAACTTCATTTTCTTCATTATACAGTATCTTTTTGCCTCCATTAATCATGCTTTCTGTATTAATATCAGTACATTCAGAAACGTGGTTTTCACAGTTCATTAGTAGTGATCCTTCCTGACTTCCTTCAGGAAAACAATGTTCCAAAACACTTACATCTTCAAAGTCAATGGTTTTAGTCTCAGATGTCACTGCCTTCAAAAATGAATTATTCTGTAAGTACAAAAAAATAAAGTGGAAAGTTATATAAGGATAAATAATGTATTAGCTTATTTTCTTAATATATAAAATACTGCCATTGAGCTCTGTTTGACTCTTAATCTTAAAAGTGCGTTAATATAGAGTTCATGTTCATTTCAGCTGGGATGCACTTATATGTGAATGAGTACTAAGAATGCCAATGTTATTCTATCCATTTGTTAAACATTTTCATATTACGTTTTCTGTGCTTAATAAAATAAGGAGTTTCAATTAAGGCTCACAATCAGGCCTGGACTGTTTCCATCTTTTCCGCTCTAATCAGCCATTTTTGAGACAAAAGTTTAAATCCCAATCTCCACAGATTACACTTTCTATGTAAACCTGATCAACTCCACATAATTCAAATAAACATCAAAGCTTTAATAAGGAATAAATATCCAACAATAAAAAAGATGGAAATGTTAGTACAATAATATACCAAGTTTTATTATATATTGCACTACATTTTTGTGGAGAAGGGAGGAGATATCCAGATGTGGGAATATGATTCAGTAGACTCAATAACCTGAGCAAATTTAATTGACTTTATTTAATAAACCATGTCCACCAATCACTTTATACATTCAAAACATGTTTTCTCATTATCATATAAGAATTAAATATATGTACTTTATAAAGATGCATCTTTTCTATTAGTTTGAAATATAATGAAAAGCATTTTATAGCACTAAAACAAAGAATGAAACTCAACACGGTTTTTTATTTAGTCATAAAATGACTGTCAGAGAAGGACTTATCTTCTCTCCATTTGACCCCTTCTTTAACATATAAAATTGCTATTATTACCATAGGTGCATCAAGAGGCCATTCTACTGCAATGCTCTCCGCAGGATTGGGTATATCAGGCCAGCAAACCTTTTTAAACCTATCATTGAGAAAGGAATTTTAGTCAAATGATGAAAGAAGTAGATTATTAAAAATAAAATGAACAAATCTCCATTAAGCCCAAATACTGCCAAGTATCCACAAAGGAAGTCTTTCCTATATTAACAGTCTTCTTCATTAAAACTGTTTTCCTTCACATTAATTTTAATTACAAAAGATCTCAACAAGTAAAAATCTTACAGTTTACAGAGACATTGCAGAAAAATTACCAATGCACAATAATAATAATAATAATAATTAGTATTATTATTGTTGTTGTTATTGTTTGTTGTTGTTATTGTTATTATTATTGTTGTTGTTATTGTTATTATTATTATTATTATTTTTAGTTTACTACTACTATTATTATTTAGCAGACTACTACTACTACTACTACTACTATTATTATTTAGCAGTTCAAATAATAGCATGCCAAAATAAGGCTGTATACAAAACCTGTTGTGATCATGTTTCAGGGTGGTTCTTCAGTGAAAAGGCAACACAGGTAACCTTTGCTATAGGAAAGCATCCCCAGCACTATACACCACACTAGAGCTATGCTGAGTTCTTATGTTAGCACCAGATAAATGATGCTAATTGACACTGTAACTTACAATTGTCCAACGAAGTAGTAAACAGGAAAAAAAATGAATCACTCATTGATACTGGGTATATATGTAAGTGAATGAAAACCAGGCCATAGCTTGACTTTTCACATTGCAATTTAATCTACACAAGAATAAAAAACACTCAACTATCTCCCGAAGTATTCTCCATAATCAAAACATAGTTTCTTACTATTGTAAAAATTCAGAATACACAACACAGATGAAGATGTAGAAGAGCTGGAAATTACACTACTTCATCTATACTCATTACCTGATGCTTCACAGAACAACAATCTTGGTTCTAACAGCTTAGAACACCCCAAAATAGTTAAGATTTTTAACCTTATTAAGCTTCAGCTGAAGAACCCAATCACTTTTCATGCTAAAGAAAAGCACATTTTATAGCCTTAAAAAAATCCTCACAGTCATCTTCGAGATGTTATAGTATCCCCATGCTCCGAGGAAGCACATTAAAATCTGGCAGGGGATATCTGTGATGGCAGATAAAAGGACTGTGAATCATGTATAGATAGGGATCCATACTCATGGATCAAGCATCCAAATGCTTTCACATGATGTAATTTCTAGTTTCTTCATGACTTCTTTCCAGCTCAAGGGAAGTGTCGCAAACTAACAAAAGTAATATTATCGTAGGTAAAATAAGCAGTAGGGTTTATGTGAAATGTGTTCTAGAGATGTACTAGCAGATATATTAAGAGTGTCTGTGAAACTTTATTTCTGGCATTACTAGTTTTTCAGTAACTGTCTTAAAGTGTGCTCCCCTCACTTGATTGACCACAGAACTGGAAATGGCAGGTAGCATTTTCCATAAACTGATATAGGTGATATGTAGATCTGTTTCTCCTGTTTCTTTTGTTCTGGTTTATTGAACTTTCTAAAATTAATATTTATGTTTGGACTATAGCACATTAACTGCAATTACAAGATAACCTGTTAACTTAGTTATATGTTACTCCAATTGCTTATTTTCTTAACCTGACATTAGTTTGGAACCCACAAAAGCATTTATAAGATATATAAAAATTTGCCTTTTACAAGCTAAAATTAACTGATTGCATTCAGTTTTAGAAGGTAGAAAATGTACTCACGCATGTTTTTTCAAAATGCATGTTATCCAAAGGCATAACAGAAACAACATGCTTAATCCAATGGGTAGAGCAATGAAAATCACATCTTCTTTATCTTTAGAGGGAAAAAAAAACCAACCTATTTATCATTACTTCATGTATTCCCTTAAGACAGCTAATTTTCAACATCCGAGTCACCTAATTCTAAATATCTCTGTCAAAACTAGCCAAAATTACTCAGAATACTGTATGATACTTGTACATCGTGTCAAAAGATGAGTATTTTGAATCCAACCAGTCCCAAATACTGAGCCAGAAAAGCAGCTTATGATGAGACTTCTCAGCACATCTCAGGAACAGATGTATTATATTTTTAAGTTTCCTTTATTTAATAGAATCACACAAAAATTCAGATTGGAGGGGACCTTGTCCCTTGTCTATAGTCACCTTGTCCAACTTTGAAATTAGAATCAGGTTGCTTAGGGTCATACCAAGCCAACCTTTGAAAGTCACCTTGGATGAAGAGTCTACCACCTCTCTGGGCACCTGTTGCTTTAGAATCACCTAAAGCTGCAATATAGTGCCACTTCTACCTGTTACTACAAAATAAATAGTAAATTCAATGCAAGAGATAGGTTTTAAATCCACAAAAAAACAGTTACTCTGACTGAAACAGTGCCCATATTTCTGAGCTAGCTTCCAAGTACCTACCAGAGGTAGGTACTGACAACAACAGAGGCTGGACCTCAGCATAGTCTAACTTTGCATTTGACTAGCAAACTAGCAGATGATTTTACAGGTGAAAAATAAATTAGCTTTGAGTTCCATGGCAAGTTTAAAGATACCTCATGTACATTTTACATTTCAGTTTTGCCATCATTCAGACAGTTTATGTATGTATTGAAAACACTCTCCCAGAAGTAGAAATGAGGAAGTGTCTGAACTTCTGACCTTCAGCCACCATACCAACCACCTTAGTAAAATCTGGCTAAAAGAAATAGTAAGAAATAGTAAAAGATATTTCTACACACACACTGGCCACAACCTGTGCACTCATTTATTAGTTAAGCTTATATAGCTGAAAGGATGCAACTCAGTGAAAACAGCTATCCTAAATCTAGTATCTCAGATGGAAATGTCTGGTTTTAAATAAACTGTTAGGCCCATCCCACAACTGACAGCACACAAACTGTTTCTCCCACAAACATCCATAGCATTCCACAGCTTTATTGACAGCAAAATAAAGATTTTGGGTTTTGACTTCTAATCTTGAGGTTTTAGTCTGTGAGATCAGTGAAACTGAATTAAATTCAGCTAGTGTTGGTAAGTCTTCCTTGTCTTGTTTAACATTAGTTTAGAAAAAATAAACAAAAATTAAGAAACGCCTAAACAAATATGTCCCGTATTTCTTACTCCCAAATCTGTTTTTAAAACAGTAATAATTAACCTCGAGTGTTACTTACTGAATTTCAACGTCTTAAAAGTTTTTGGCTCTCCACTGGTTCCACCAGCTTCATTGCTTGCCGTTATATAGACAGTATACTGCGTATCAGCCTGTAAGGACGTCAGTCTGTATTGCAGAACATCAGAGTTCACTGTTTCACCTTTTCATGAGAAGATTTATGTCAATAAACATACAAAATAGTGTTATATCAGGGAACCATACAGCTATTTAGCATCTTTTACAATGATAGATCACAAAGTATTTTAAAGACACAGTGACCATATCAGTCCTTTGAGAGAGAAAAGTTAAATTACTAAACAATGTTTATCAATGCTCCTTAAAAGTTTAGGACAAAAAACCAAGCCATTATGTATTTACTTTTAAAAATAAATACACATTATTTTGCTAATATTAGAGAAAGGCAAATTATGATCTCCCGTATTCTATTTTATCACTGAAAACTGTGCTTTCAGAACTTTATTTCCTGGAACCTAGGCTCAGAAATTAAGAACTTAAAACATTTTCTGCTGCTCATGAAATTTAACTATATTTTTAGCACATGCAGTTAGATACGGATCATCCAAAAGAATTCCATCTATCAGCAATGGGATATCACCCCAATAAAGTCAGAGGAAAGACAAAATCAACAGGAACTTTTTTCCAAGTTTCAAAATGCTTTTCGGAATAGAACTCAGCGTTTCCAATATGTTCTCCATTACTGGACTAGTATGATGTGCTTCTGTAAGGAACTGAAGGAATTAATGCCTCAAACATTAACTGACACAGAAAACTTTGACAAGCTGTGGCTTTTGTGATTAGTCTAAGGAGTGCTGCCCAAGGAAGCGCGGAGTGTATCGAAGGATGCACGGCTTCACTCCCTTGCAGTTGCACTGCCAAACTCCTTAGATAAGCCTCAAAGGAGAGAAATGTGGACTGAGTGAAACCGTGTGTTCATATTAAAGGACTGATAAGAGAGGTAAATAACCAGCACCAGAATGACCTAAGCAAAAACTGAGGAAAAAGTAAGGGTGGGGGAGTGAGCACAATCACCAACTTGATTGACCAAGGGATCGGTGCACACCACTCCCCCTCAATGCACATGCAGAACCCATGCTCCACTCTTTCTTTGTCTCTCATGGAAAAGAGTTTATGAAATACCTGCCTCTCTTTGTCTACTATGCTAATCAGGTGATAAACATGAACTTATAATATGACAGAAAACTCTACTATGTATGCACCCACCACCGGACCTGAGACAACACTGGAACCATGGGTGGTGATCGGATCCTTCCCCTTTCCCTTCCTTATGGTTTTATCAATAAGATACCTCATTGCTTACTATCCTTCTCCAAGTTTAAGTTGTTTCTACTGCAAGTAAAACATTTTAACTTGGTGTCGTTTCACCTTAACTTAACCTGAGGGAATCACAGAAGCTTTATGACTCCCTGGGCTCCCAGTCCAGGTCATAACAGTTTCAATTCTAAATATTTTTAAGCAGGGATTATATCCCAACATTCTGTCTACAAACAGTATTAAAAACATGTTTATACTATGAAATTAAAGTCACTAAAACATTTTCTGATGCATGAAGTCAAATCCAATTCATGTCATCATTCAGTTGAGTCCAGAAACACTCAGATATGCTGCAAAATGTACTGAGATTAAGCAAACTGAATTAAGGAATTTATAAAATCCCCTCTTAAATTAAGGAGGGGAAAGTGAAGTTCTGGAGTTAAAAGGCCATCAGTTAAGTCACCTTGACACAAACTCCATGTTCTATTCTTATCAAAAAGATGTGACGTCACAGAAGCCTCAAAAAATATCAGTACAGTAATGTTCTGACATTTAAATTTAACTCCCTTGAGTTGTTAATTAAAACTAATTTCCTAAAGGAACTAATCTGAACCTCTAAAATGGGCACAGTCTGCTTTACATTATGAGTAATATGGAGACGTATGGCTCCACAACATGAGGCTGCATGTTTTGAGGATGACCCCACACAAAATAGTCAGCATTAAATTACTCAGAAACCAACATACCAGGAAAAATTGCATCTAGAGGACTGAATAATCAGCTTCCTCTAATTTAAAAATTAGCAAGAATACTCTTGCCCTAACTTTGAACTGTACATCCAGAAGCAACTGAAGACATCACAAGATTTGTAAGTTTGAGATCTTTTTTAAAAAGGATTATGTTAGATGTCTGCTAACAGTGCTGTCTAAAATAAAGGAGGAAAAAAACCCATTTCTGAAGAATTGAATGATCCAACAGCTTTCTTCATAAAATATGCAGGAAGAATAAATTTAGATCACCAAAAGACATTTCATAAAAGATTCTTCCGATACTTATGATAGAGAAGTTCTCCATAGATAGGATCATATTGACACCTTGTATGGATTTTACTCCTGAGGTAGGAGACTAAGAATACACTTAAAAAGTTATGCTATCAGCCCCCAGAGCAGAAAAGCAATACCCAGCACAGAAAATGAAACACATTTAAAGAAATTAATCTAAAAAACTATGCCCAAAGAACTATTTCTTGGCAGCTTATTTAGCTTCTTGACTAGTATTTGCTATTTTGCTTTTATTATAAAAATGACTATAAAAACATTTTTAGCAGCAAATTGCCACCATACTATTCCAGAAGCTGAGGGCTTAGGAAAAGCATCCTTTCGAGGACATGCATGGAACTTATAAATTCCCTGAACCTTCATGAGGTTCAAATTTATGAATTTGCATGGGATCTATGACTCTTAGCTCCTCTACTTCTGTCATGATGAAACAAAAAAAAAGGCCCAAACAATAGGCTTCAAACCAAAGTTGACTTCTGAGTGAATCCCCCAACCAGCAACCAGCGTCGTATCAGCAGCATGAAGCAACCACCATCTTATCAGCATGAAGCAACCACCATCTTATCAGTATGAAATGCAACCCTGGGAACAATCCCTGAAAACTATAAGTAAACAACAGGAAGTAACTATAAATCCCAAATGTAAAGAAAACCAGAAACTTCTCAGACGTGCCCAGATCCTGGCCTGCCTGATATGCCTGAGTGAGGCATGTCAACCTACCAGATATCTCCCGTGCATATTGTATAGATTTGTTTGTTAAACTGTATAAAAGCTGGGCCCTCTCACAGCACAGACAGAGACCTCACCTACGAGTGGACGCCCTGCGTGGGACTTCCCATTGCCGGGAAGGACTCTCCAACCCTTCGCTGTGACGGGGCTCCCCCGCTGATGCACGGGTCGGGGTGATGGTAAAGTATGAGGGCAACTGGTGATGTATCTTTCTTAATCACTACAGCTAGCTTTATGGAGTAATAGGTGCATTACCTTGCTTATTCTTTCTGCTGCCTTAAACTTAGGTAAAATAAGCCTATTTCTTTAGCTTGGTGTCTGTGTCCATTGTGTTAACCCCGTCAATTGGCAAAACACATGGCTTTTTCCATTGGCTTCAGAGGTGTGTCATGATGGAAGAGATGTGAAGATGGAGGGAGTCTAGTGCACATGTAAAAGGGGAAGACAGCAAGTATCTGACAAATAAAACTCTCTAATTTGGCATAATCCTGCAAATTTGATTTTTTTACTGTTAACAGAGAACAATCTGCACAAAGCCTCTCATATATGAGTTTTTATCCTGATCCGGAAAGGACGGAGGAAAGACAGTGCTGCCATACACTGACTAAATTTATCACCTGGAGGTCCATCAGATATGCATCTAAGAAGCAGAAAGGATGATGTGGTTAACAGTCATGGCTGTACTACCATGGGTAGTACAATACTAATAGTAAGAAAGATTGAGAGCAAGCAATGCTGTACAAAATAAATTCAGAACAAAGAAATTGATCTAGAATACATGTGTAGTATTGAAGCAGGGACTATTCACTGGAATACCCCATTGTTTCAACTAAACATAAAAAAATGTTTAATCTTTATGTAAACCATATTTTAGTACTACTATTTTCAAACGTATTTATAACATACAATAACAAAGTGTCCTAATAACTATGAAAATAACTATCTTCAGACATCAGATTGTCATAACCCTGTTGAAAGCATACTTTTTTATGTTTAATGCATACTTACTCAATTCTTTTCCGTCTTCAGGTCTATAAAATATTGTATAGTTACTGATAAATCCATTTCTTTTCTCCTTTGAAATCTCCTTCCATTTTATTGTAACTTCATTCTTCCCCGGAATGCCTGTGTCAGCCACAGGTCCTTCTGATGGCTCTACACAGAAGCATTATAAATTAAAAGAAGTAGTAAAATAGTCTCAGTACTGCAATGTTATCCATCTGTGTTATTCCACACATACCAGTAACATTAGAGGCAACAAATGTACAAGTAAATATGTCATCATAGTGCTCTGATATAGCACTTAACTATCACAACCTCTTTAATGTGTGATTTCTTCTGATAGTACTTCCTCTCATCTACTCTGGTGTTTTCACAGTTCTTGGTGTTACTCCATCCAAATACCTCAATATCACAGATGCATGAAATGAATCACAGAATGGTTTGGGTTGGAAGGGACCTTAAAGCCCATCTAGTTCCAACCCCCCCTGCCACGGGCAGGGCCCCCTTCCCCCAGCCCAGGGTGCTCCCAGCCCCGTCCAGCCTGGCCTTGAACCCTTCCAGGGAGGGGGCAGCCACAGCGGCTCTGGGCACCCTGTGCCAGGGCCTCACCGCCCTCACAGGGAAGAATATAAATCTACCCTCCTTCAGCTTAAAACTGTTACTCCTGTCCTATCTCCATGCCCCTTGATAAAGAGTCCCTCCCCACCTTTCCTGTCCCCCCTTTAAGCACTGTGAGGCCACTATAAGGTCTCCCCAGAGCCTTCTCTTCTCCAGGCTGAACAGCCCCAGCTCTCTCAGCCTGGCCTCACAGCCCCCGATCATCTTTGTGGCCTCCTCTGGACCTGCTTGAGCAGGTCCATGTGCTTCTTGTGTTGGGGTCCCCAGAGCTGGACACAGCACTGCAGGGGGGGGGCTCATGAGAGCAGAGCAGAGGGGCAGAATCCCCTCCCTCGACCTGCTGCCCACACTGCTCTTGATGCAGCCCAGGTCACAGTCGGCTTTCTGGGTTGTGACCGCACATTGCTGGCTCATGGTCAGTTTTTCATCCACTAATACCCCCAAGTCCTTCTCGAGTTTTTAGAAGGCTCTATCCTCACAACAATCAGAGAGAGATCAAGAGGTGAACCGTCATTATGCACTCATGAGGGAACTGAGGTACAAGGTCTCTGTGTATGCAGGACGTCTCTGGCTGAGCTGAGATTCACCTGGGGTCTCCAGCACCCCCAGTCTTTGCCCATTACATTAGATAAAGTCTTTCTACTTAAACAACTTCACATGCTTTGAATTTTTGAACTTCATAGCTTTGAAGCAAGAGTTCTCTGTGCTTCAGTTTTAAAACAAACACCCTCCTTCCCTTTCTATGACAACATCTAGCACTGTCACAGCTCCCTATGATCATGAAAACACTTGAAACAAAGTTCTAATTGTTACTCAAACATACAATAATCCACTACCTCCTCCTAGTAATTAATGCTGTTTTGTCATACATTGCACTATGTATGCATGCACACCTATGTAGACCTATATACGCACACACACGAATTGACATTTTCATCTGAAATCTTAAAATTACCATTAAACTACATTCTTACAGCTGGCTGTATAAATCACTCAGTTCACATTAAACTTCTACAAATAAAGAAACCTTCCTGCAAATATTTTGTTACAATATAAAATTTAACAAAAAGTAAGCTCTTCAAACCATCCATGTTATTCTGTGAATAGAATTTCCTCATATTTTAGGACTGATAAATGCAGTTAAGCATTAAAATCATGTCTAATTATATATCTAAATGAGCTGTAACATTTGTGATAGCCAGTTTAAAAATCCGTTTCATAGACTCTTTCCAAGCGCTCTGTAAACAGTATGCAAACTTTACTACAAATAAGTGGATTCAAGCAGCAATATAGCTGTATCACAAGGTACAAATTTTCTTTATTGAACAATTCAGCAGCTGATCTATGAACAAAAATCAGGAAGCCCAAAAGCTGGGTTTTTTTCAGCATCTACATCTCTCCTTGAGTAATGCCAGTACCCAACTGCTCAAATATACCCTAAGAGACAGACTACAACATACCTTCCACAACAGTAATTTAAAATACGTACTTTTTTCTTGAACATAAGTTTGTATGGAATATGGAGCTGCTACTTTATTTCCATATAGAGGATATACTGAGATGTTATAGCATACAAATGGCTTGAAGTTTTCTGTAAAGGAAAAAAAGGAATATTAACATACTATTCTCTGTGTGAGATTAAAACAATTAAGGTAGAATAAATCACAGTGCACTTCTAAATATAATGTCACAGACCTCTCTTTTTCTTCAGCTTTTTAGAAAGCAAAATATATATTTATTGCCTTGAATGCTCATTACTGTCTGTAACGTAATTAATTTTATTTAGTAGTATTCACAAGACCACTTGGTTTCTGACTCATTTTTCACTAGAAGTACTTTGAATGGGTAATTAAACTTCAGCCTTATGCAGCTTTTCTATAGGAAGCCACTTACTCATTTCATAACAGTTTAAGGTTTTGTAGGAAGTTTTTATTTTCAAGTAACCATCATAAAATGATACAACCAGGAATACTTCTAATTTCACATATCTTTAGGCTTACTTCTCTGCAGAAGAGAGTTTTGTCTCATGTATCAAACAGCCTAAAAGGCACAATGGAGCCCCAGCTCTTAACTCTATGTTGATGTTGCAGTTATGCCAACTGCAGATCTGCTTCTAACCATCTTGACTCAAAAGTACAATTGTGCAAGTGGTATCTCTGCAGTAAAATTTTATATGTTTCAAGACATAGTTCAAACGTCTGGAAGTGAAGTTTTGAACTCTGAACATCCAGCAGCCAAGTAACCAACAGGGTGCAGCCCCTACTTACAGGCAACTCTCATCAACTCTGGGAGGACATCTCTGTGGCTTTACACTCCGTGGGAGGAAACCAGCATAAAGGGTTTCCTAGACCATTCCTCCTCAAGCTCTGCAGCTTCTGCAGCAAGAATAATGGCTATTGACTGTGACCCCTGCATTATATCAGCTCTTTGCTGCTTTTTCAGTCCTTTACACATATGGCAATCCAGCAAAAGTTATGATGGCATATATTTCATCCTTAAGGTAATTCCACATAATGCCAGAATCAGGCCTGAATATCAGTAAGTCTGAATTTGCCTCAACATTTCTGATGTGACCTGTGCTTAGGGTAAACAAATATCTCCTAAAAATGCTGAGGAGGAAAGTTGTTTGTTTGTTTGTTCGGGTTTTTAAAATATATTGAGAACAGCTATAAATAGCTTTTATTCCTCACAGTAAATTGCTGAAATAGTGCAATTTTCAGCATAAGACTCAAGACTTACCCATCTCAGTTCAATGTGTAATAAACTGCTCTTGAATTTTACTTCAACCAGATTTTTGTTCAATTTGTTTCATGGTAGCACAGAAACAGTATTTAAATCACTGTTGTCTGAGCCAGTAAGACAAATTTCATGGGCAAGCTAGCTATATTCTTCATTAACGAACCCAATGTTCCTTTTTATTTTAGAAAATGCAGGGTATTCATTTTCTGAAAACTTCAGAAATTATTTTTCCCTGATGTAGAATTCAGTAAGATTCTTATATGAACAAGAACCACTTTCAAATGTGATAAATTTAAATTTCACTAATGGAGAAGTAAAGAACTAATAATCCAAAATTCACATATCACATATATTACATATATCAAATACTTTCACCATATTTGTAAAAAAAAATCCAAATGTATAAAGAAAAGCAGATGCATTTCATTAGCTAAAGTAATGTGCATGGGATATTCACATTAACATCAACATTCACAGTTTTGCCTTTGCACCTATCCCGGGATCTGCACATTGTTTGGTTTTTCATTGAAACCACATACACATAGCCAAAGCATTACTAATTAAAGAGATTGTTGAAGAAAAAGTCAGCCTCTAAAACAAAGAAAAAGAGAGCAGATCCTCACCTACTTATCAGTGTATTGTAAGGCCACTGAAACTTCTTACAAATGTCTTAGGTCATAATACAAATGTGATTATGTGATACCTCACATGCCCAATTGACCAATCACTCCACTTGCTTATTTTAAAGCAGAATTCTCCCTCAAATCCTCTTTCAGGTTTCTTGCTCTCTCTCTAACACACATGAAGGCACATGATCTTTTCCCATCTTCAAATTTCTTTTTTCGGTTCTAGTTTTCTCTGCTACAATAGTGCACATCTGTCATAGGCCTCCCTACTAAAAGATTCATGGCGTAAGATCAAGACACAGAAGTGCTTAAATATGAAATTTGTAGCCTAATATGGGAGGAAACACCATCCTGCATGTTGAGTGAAAATTTGAGAGAGTTAAAATTACTATTAAATTACATGCAAAGATTTCAATAAAGCGTGCAATAATATTGTTATTTTTTAAAACTATCTGAGGAAAGCTGGATGATTTAATCCTTTCTTGTTCTTTCTGGTCTACCTATAAATAAATATACATAAATACATATATTTCTGTACATTGTTACAGCTATAACTGATAAATATACATACTTTTGTTAGTTTTCCAGTTTGTAGAATTTGATACGTATTGCCATGATCTACTAAAAGGATCTGTTTCTAAGTCCTCATACCACTCAATTACATATTCAGTTTCTGCTGGTTCGGAGGTGGTCCACTTTACAACCACTTCTTCATTTGTTGTAAAGGTCCTCACTGTTTCAATAATCTGAGAGGCTAAAAATTTAACAGAAAATGTCAGCAATTCCAGCTTCATAAAAAATGCATCAAGAAAACAATTCAATTATAGAATGCTGAGATTGCTTCTTTATGGGACTCAGTCAAGGTTAAAAAAAGCCTTTTAAAAGTTACTTTATACTTATGTTCACATGCACATTCTCAAAATACTTTAAAATAAAGTATGTAAGAATTGTTACTGGGAAAAGGGGCAGGGGGGTGACCGAGGAGATGATACTCAAGGACATTTACACATACAGAATTAAAGACCATTCTCTCTTTTACGATCTGAATTTTACAGTTTGAAAAACTTTACAAACCAATTTACCACCAATTTTACAGGTAGCACATATAAGCAAGTTTTGATTGAGATGACAAAGGCAATAGGAAAACAGCAAATCAAGTCAGCAAGGTCATAAATGAGAGTGAAGCAAAAGCGAACCATCAACCTGCAGAACAGAGGTAACAAAAGTCTGAGTGAAAACCCAACCTGGCAAAGCAGAGGGAAAAAAGACCTCATGAAGCAGAGGGAAAAGATGAAAAAGAGGGGAAAGAGGGGAAAGAGAGGAAAGAAGGGAAAGAATGGAAAGAAGGGAAAGAGGGGAAAGAAGGGAAAGAGGGGAGAGAGGTGTATGTAGGGAAAAAAAAAAGCATTTCACGGCATGGAAAAATCAGAAAAACATTTATTGTGGGATATGGAAGGTCAGCAACCTTCAGGAAAAGATGACATCACGTCTACATAACCAGTTTTCTCATTAGACTGGAATTTGATTGAGCAATTCCAGGGGGACACTTGCACTTATTTCATGAACAACTGATGTAGAAGAAGTGATTCAAAGTTGTCAAATGCAAACTCTCTTCTGGATCATGGGCAGGCAACAGGATGTTGCAAAATAAGGCTCACAGATATACCAGAATCAAACCTAAGAGCCAAAGAACACAACTGTTGTGCTAGGATAGACCAGCCTCCTGACCCTGTCAGTGGGTGGGATGTGATACTTTGGGAATGCATATGAAATGACAATAAACACAGTTTCCCTCTCGACTTCCATTGACACATCTTAATGACTTCTATTCAATACATGGTTGAATGAAGTTGCTAAATGCACTGCAATAATGTCCTTTATGACCTAGTAGAGGGATGAGACAGAATTGGGTGGGACTCTGTAAGTTTATTTGGGAGGTCCCAGGTTAGAAAAACAAAACCAAAAAATCCTGATAAAGTAATAAAATAGAAATTCTAAGAAGACATCAGAAAGTGCTGATATCTTAACAACTATATCTCAAAGCAAAAACAGAAAAATAATTGTCTATAACAAAAACATGATATGTGATAGCAAAATGCAACAGCCAGATAATACTGTTCTAGTGAAAAGTAATGGACTACATAGCTTTGTACGTTATACAGTTCTACATATGTAGATCTTTGACAAAAGTCCTTAGCACAATTTTGCTTCCAGTATAACAGAAATTAAACAGATGTTTAACATCATTAGAAAACCCAGATGTTTAACATTGTAAAAAAAAAAAAAATCATTTTTTTATTAATGAGAAAAATACATCACAATATTGAGAAATCTTACTTTTTTCATCAGTGGATGGAATCCTCAAAATAGCTTCAGGAGAATTTCCAGCAGAGTTGTAGGCAGTAATAGATATTATGTATGCCTCTTCATTTAAAAGTAAAGTAATTTTCTTATTGGTAGAGATGTTTGTCATTTTAAATGCAGCATTCTTTTCTGGAAAATACTGTATTTTGTAGCCTAGAATTCTCCCAGAAGGCGGAAAGCTGTTTAATGGCTATTAAAAAATATGTAGTAGTAAATGTTTCACAATGTAATTTGTATAACCAAAAGTATTAAAGAGTCCAGATCAAATTACAAAATTATTATACTACATTTAGAAAAGCAAGGTACTTTCTTCAGTTGCATCTTTACGACAGTCAGCTGCAGCAATTTAATTGAAGGAAAGGTTAAAAAGTCAAATACCGAGTTTTGAAACACAAAGAGCCTCTGGTCACTCTACTAGAAGATTAAAGTGAATTTAAACACAGCTTTGGTAAGCCATATTATTTAAAAGCAGTTGCACGGACTTTCAATCAGATTTTCCAGTGATCTGAACACAATTAAATTCTCTCTTTCTGCACAGATTACAAAATTGTATTCATCTACCATTCAGTACACAAAATCCTTTTCAATTCTGCTTTAGTTCAGTGAGGTTTTTTTCTGATGACAGCAAAATACCCTGGCAGTTATATGTCCTACAACACTAAAATACTTCAACACAACATCAGCTGCAGGATACAAATATGATCATCAGTTCATGAAGAGTATATACCTTCCACATAAGATGTACAGATCTACTTCCAGCTGAGTGTGAAGACTCAATCACCCTCCACAAATCGACTTTTTCTGAAGGAGCTATTTAAGGACACAAAAATATCATGAAATTTGTTGTTATATTAAAAAGATAGTGTAATATGGTAAAAACAATCAAAGTATTTCAAAAATACAATCTGAGAGTAACTTATTAAAAAGAAGTTTTTCCTTATGTAATGTTGTGCCTTTTTTCCTTAATTAGTACAGCTTCTCCCTTTCCATAAGTGTCCTCCTGCTTTCTTCTATTTGTTAAGTTCTAGAGATTTTCTAGTCTTGTTTTATAACTGGCAATTTAACTTCTCTACTTATAGTTAATTTCATTTGACATAATTGCTACGCTACATTTCTGCTATCATCCTATTTAGCAATGTTCAGTCTCCATCTACACTCTTAATTTTTCCTCTCTTCACTGTCTATTCACCCATTTTCTTCCTTAGCCCTATGTTGTTTGCATCATCCTTCAAATCTCCTTGAATCTTTGCTCTTGCCTTTCAGTTCTCTCCTATATTCAAACAGAATACATGTGTTCTGTTCAAACAACATAATTCTAAATTCAATAGACTAATGCTATGTTAAAAATCCAGTTTTCTATTATTAAACCTAATGTCCCAATGTATAACCAAAGAAAAACTTACTAAATAGTTAGCCTACCTTTCTCTTCTGTGCTTGCTGTTTTCACTCTACTCCATTCACTCCAGAATATTGACACAACACTGATACACCGAATGGCAACTGAATATTCTGTGGAGTCCCACAGACCTGTGAGATTACATGATCCTGTTTTCTCTGCAGAATTCAGTGAGACAGTGACAAATTCCTGAAAGTAGATATACAAACAAAAATTATTTGCTATAAAATTGCATGCAGACATATGACTTAGTTTTTAAAAAAAACCACAAAGGATGTCGTTTTCATGTTTCCCCCCTCACTCCTCTGAAACTCAAAATTACTTGTTTCATATTTCATTTTTCTGTGTAGCATCTTCATTCTTCCTGTAAAAGTCCAGAGTCTGAAAAGCTTGAGCCAAAACTAGGTCTGTACTGACTGACCTTTGGCTTGAATTTTGTGCAGCTTGCATGCGATTCTAGAGCAGCTGTGCTGGCACTGGAGGTGCCGATGACTGCAGCTCCCACTGCTGGGAAGCAGCTGGGTACTGCTGAGGCCAGTATCACCATAATATCCTGGATATATCGCCACCTCACAGCAGAAGCATCCCTGGGGAAGCAGTGATCACCTGAAGCTTGTGAACAAGCTGGGTACCTGTTTCTTTTCTGAGTTACAGGGTCTTCTAGCTCTTAGCCATATATCAGTGTAGCAGTAGGCCATCCCAAAGATCATCAGTATATGATTAAAATGAAAAGACCAGCAAAAACACAGAAAATTCTGGTACCAAGAGAAAAAAAGAAGATGGAGCCTTTAAGTGGTGAAGGAAGGCAAGAGTATGAGAAATAACTGATGCAGTATCTTCTTAAAAAAGTAATGACGAGGTAATTTCCTCATCCTAAAAGAAGCCCACTTGCATTGCCCTAATGCAAGTCAGGAGCTAGATTATTGTTTCAAAACAAAATGTTAAAGAAGACATGAAAACCAGGAACTGGAGTTGATGCATCAACTCAGCTGGACTGGCAACCAGAAGTAGAAGAAAACAACAGGAAATACAGGAAGATTTAACTGTTTGTGTACAGAGTGAGTGATATAATCACTACAACAGTATAAATGTCTTCTCTTACAAATTGCAAAAATTAATCAATAATTAACAACTCTCCTCCTCTCAATTTTCACATGACTGAAAAAGAAAGATGCTAAAATAAATGTTCAAGCTAGCTAAATTCTAATAAGGTCAGCAAAGGTAAGTTTTAGAATAAGGAAGATTCCCTATTGGGAGCCAAACTGAAGTAGTAATGGCACATAGATTTACAACAGCAGGCCCAAAACCTGTGAACAAATTCTCGCCTTCCACCAGCTGAACCTTCCAGTGAAAAGTGAATTAAACTATAACAATATAAAATGCAGACACGCACTCATTTGAACAACATAATGGGAAGTGCACTGCCTAATGAAACTGAAAATTTTAGTCCATTCTGATCTCCAGAAACTCACTGTCAAAAATAGAAACCTGCTTCTACAAGAATGAATTCAGGGATCTACAAACCACTGCTAGGTGACAGGTTCTTTAGCCAACTGGAAATAAAAAGGGCTTCAGACCTATTACCAGCCTCCTGCAGAACCTGACATAAAATTGCAGACACCTCAGACTATCTTCTAGTTTCTTGACAAAAGACTGTTAGTAGCATTTAATTATAATTAGAAACTTAGTATATGAAAGTAGAAAAATAGGTCATCTGTTCTTCACTCGGTAAAACCAGTTCACAGCAAACTATTTCGATTGTTTTGGTAGGAAGACTTAAAACGTCAAGAAAATATCTGTCATTTGCTCAAACATTTTTGTTGGGTTTTTTTTTGCATATATGTGCTGACAGACAGAAAAACAGCTCCTATATCTAACTGATGGCTTGAGACTGTATTTGTTGGCCATTGCCATTGGATTGGCTACAAACAAAACTATGAATCATGACTGTCTAAGATCCTACAGAACTAAACTCAATAGATTTTTATCTTTATTGATCACAGCTACCATTTTTTCTCTAGAATGTCTGTGCAAAAATGCAGGCAAGTTCTGAGGAAGAAAACGGAAGTAGACTGCATTTGAGGGTGAAAAAGTAGATAGGTGATTTCTTATGCAGATGCTGACAAATCAACACAATAATGCTGTAACTTTGCAAAAACATGAACGTTTTCAGCACCTGGGAAGGACCTCATATGCATGTAAGCATCACAAGGACACCAGTGTGCGACTCCAAAGGAATAAACATCTTGAATGGGTCTTTTAGATAAATACTAGTTCAGTTTCAATTATCCCAGGTGGACCTGAGACATCCTGCCCATCAGATCATCCCGAACATTGTATTCTAAATCCAACGACTAATATGTCACATCTACAGTAAAGATACTTCCCATGAGAATGTAAGGACAATGCTAGCTGGAAACATTTTTAGTTATCAGGAACTTTTTTAAAGCTCTGAGGACACTACTGTTAGTTACTCTGATGAATTCTTCTCTCCCACATTCACACATTTAATGTATAAAATAGTAAGGTCAAAGTAGACATCTCAGTTTCATGAGCTTAAAAAAAAAAACCAAGTCAAGCAACGTGGCCTATTCTTAAATTTGGAAGAGGAAACAGTTAGACTGCAAACAGAATCACTACCATACTGAGAAGCATTGGAATAGGCCATCTGAGAAAAGCAAATGACTACTGTTTTTTCTGTAACAGTTCCCTTTAAGTGTCAGAAAGACAAACTCAGAAAAATAGCTTCCCTTATTTTCCATCTTGCAAAATTTATACTTTAATTCACTTGAGAATTAATGTATTAGTCCATCTTAATCTGATTCAAATTTTGTGGCTGGGAGTAAATGCTGTTTTCAACATCAGAATGCAACAGGAAAATAAAATACTTTGACCGTGTGTATAATCCCTTAGCCTAATGTCATCCCTTAGTCTTTCACAGAAATATATTCAGAAATATGGTATGTACCAAAACAGACATTAACCAAAAGAAAGAGAACAATCCTAGACTACAAAACCATGATGTTAAAATCATGCATACCTAATTAGGCTCCACTAAAATAACAAGGTTTTAATCATTATTTCCAACTACTTGTTCCCTTTTTCAACGTTAAGAAGTCAGTCACAAAGAAGCTAACGTTCAGAAAAAAAATTATGTAGCTTACCGAAGAGTTTGAATACAAGTTTCTGTATTGAACCTGGCAAATTAAATCTTGTGAAGGGATGATCTTCTCAGGCATTTTCCAGGTTACTGTAAGCAACTGCTTTATACCAGGGATTTTTTGAACTGAAAGTATTTCAGGAGGATCAAATTTCTCTAGAATGGAGAAGCAAAAACATTAACAGGGGAAAATGCTTCTATAAAAGTTCAGAATTACTCCATCTATGTGTGTTCCAGTAAGTTTATTATCCCAGTAATGTACATCTTATCAGAGTATTCACGTGATGGTCTCTTTTATAGACATAACTCTACATATGGGAAGTTATCTACAAGAGAGGTTGCACACATAACTGATTTAATGCTGAAAAACCTGATTTCAAACAGATGTGCAGATTTCTTTAATCTGTATCAGCACTGAAGAATACTACTCAGAGACAACAACAGGGAAAAGAAACAAAGCAGAGCTGGGGTGCCAAAGTCACCTCTGAACTGCAGCTGAGAGAAGAATTCAGTTGAAAAGGATTTGAGGGGGACACAAGTGTGAAGAAGATGATGGTAAAAGAATGGATTAGCACCAAGAAAAGAGATGACTGGTACAGAGGATGTGGAAGGTAATGAGGAGCCACAGCAAGTCTGAACACAGGGAGTAAAGGAGTGTATGGCTGGAGAGCTGATGGAGTGCTGCAGCAAAAATACTCAGTTAAAACAGCTGTTGATTAACTACACCAAAATGAACACAGAAAAATCCAGCACAATGCAGAGGGAGAAGAGGTAGGCAAAATATTATTATTGCTCCTGTGAATCACAGAACAGGTAGGTTTTTAACATTCCTTAACCAGAAAGTAGAACAGCAGAGTAAATGATGGATGGACCTGGAGAAATTACAATATTACTATTAATTTCCAGTCAGATATTGCACTGACATCTAGTACCACTCAAAAATAAAAAAGTACAGTCCAAGTACCACTTTGTTTGACGAAAAGTTTTAGTATATGGCCTTTACTTGTTAATAATTAAAAACTTAGTAATTTATAATAGATATGTCACACATAAGCTTAAAAAAATATTGTTGTAGTTATACATTTCATAGTATGAATACAACACACTACCATTTTTCACCACCTCTTGGTAAGACCAAGAAATTGCTGAAACTTGCTGCTGTATCAGCAACCAGTTCAAAGAATTTTACAGGGAAAGGCCATTAATTAAAATATAACAAGAAATTTGCTTCAACTGAATTGGAAGCATACAAATTTTGATGAAAAAAATTGGAAAGGATGAAACATTTTATTAAACCCTAAACACAATTTCAGACTTCACAATTTCAGCTAACAAAATTAGAAGGCAGTTCAAAACTGAAACCAATTTAAAACTAAATTAAACTCAAATAATAGTTTCAAAACTATTATATCAAAAAAATTATTTGTGCATTATTTTCTTCTATGTAAACCAACTTTGATTATGCAGTTTGTTTCAGAGTTCTCTAACCAGTATGCTATAGGGAGCGAAAAGTAACTGGGAAGGGTGCAGCCAGATCCACATACACTGCTTTACCTTTATTTAACTCTTTTTTTTAATTACCTATTTTTCCCATAGGCATAGGAACACAATCTGATGAGGCTTCACCCAAAACATTTTCAGCTTTCACCTGAAAACAAAAAGAACCACTATAGGAAGCATCTGGATAATAAAATGAACATGACTCCGTTTTGCTTTGGCAGGAATCCCCTGTATTTGGAGAACTGATCCTTCCTTCTGTCATCCTAAAAAGCAAAAGAGAAAAATAAATGGAATTATAAATAAGAAGATGTTCTTATAATAACTCAGACTGATTGTTGGGTTACTATTTAGTTATTATTTACATGTTTTGAGGTTGCAGGACATTTTTACCACTGAACATCAGCTTAGACGACATGTTTGTACAAACAAATACTCTTTCCTAATTGCACTGCTCCTGCAAATGCATATAAATAGTTTGCACAGTCTCAATTACCTTTAATTGCAATTAGTAAGAGAACTTTTCAAAGCAGTAATGAAGAGTAAAAATGCCTTAATGGGGGACCCACATGCTATTATTATTTTAGATTAAAATCTCAAAGAGAAGTGAAATCATGTAACTCCCCAAAAAACACCCGTTAAAATGATGGGTAGATATAGTATCACATGCCAAATGGAACTATGTGATAACAATCTTTATTCCTCTTTTAAATACAGAAAAAATAAAAGCCAAATTGTACTACTGCCAAGCTATTACAAGGTAATAGAAATTTGACAGATTTTCCTGAAATAACATACTGATAGTATGCTGTCTTTACAGCATATACTTTCATAATAAGTAGTTTGGGATGCAAAACTAACAAAATTTGTTTCATTTTACTGACTCACAGAGAAATTCTTCAACAAATAAAAACTCACACATGGGGCCTGTGTTAAATATTTCCTATTATGCAGTAAGCAATAAGATAATTCGTTTAACTCAAAAAAGTTTTAGGCTGGTATTTCATGAACATTTTTAAGCAAGCGTGAGGCTGCACTGCTGTGAAAGGAGGTAGTCCTGCCTTCTCTAACATGCATAGCTGTATGTTTCCACCCACATCTCCTGCCCCCTTGTAGTCATATGGTAAACTCAGTTGAGGAGCTATCTGGATTAAAATTAATGGTTAGATTTTACTGGAAATAGTTTTGCAATCCAATTCACTGTGTGGTTAAAGAAGAATTTGTTCTGGTACAGCAAGGAACAATACTGAAATATTGAAACATAGTTTCAGTAGCTGTTCTAGTTTATGATTTCACAGACTCAGGTAAGTTATAAAATGTAGAAACACTAGGAGAAGTAAGAAAGGTCCACCTAATGAAGGTGGAAGCCTAAAATAGAGATAAAACTAAAGATATTTTTCTGCCCTACCATTTAAATAAAAAAGATACCTTATGCTAGTATAACTTACAAAAAAGAAAACATCTCCTTTCAAGTCTGAATTCCTTCCTGTTCTCAAGAATAATTTTAGACATTTTAGAAAACTCTTCATTAAATCATATTACCTAGAGTCTTGATTAGGCAGAAAAAGTGCACTACAAGCAGCACTATTATGAAGAACAGACTGACAAGTCTATTTGGGACAAAATCTGTGCTATCACCTTCAAAATTGTATCTGAGATCTGCCTTGGAGCAATACTGATTTTGCCTTTTTCACAGTAACTTATGAATAAGTAAGTACTTGAAAGAATCAAGTATTTATGCTTCTATAATGGGGTCACAAAAACCCTAAAAAGCATGAGACTACATAATTTGTGTTTGTAAGTACAAATCCCCAGATGTGAGCAATCCAAAAAGGACAATTAACTCTGGATTCTGTCACTGAAACTTTATGTCTCCAAAGGTCCCTAGGTTAAATCCTAATGGTGTGAAGCAGAGTAACAGGGGCTTTAATAGCTTTAATTGAGAATTGTTTAAAGTAGAGGAGGAAGTAACCTTTTTTAAACCATCCAAAATGAGCATAGTTGGTTACACAGAACATTTCTGGGTAACACTCCCACAAAGGGCCTCCATTCTCCATTTGTAGGTAGGCTCACTCAGCTTTTGACCTAATTAGCAATATTACTTCAAGGAAACAAGTATCAGTTCTGATGTAAACATTTCTCTACTGAATACTGGGCTGAGAATACAGTATACTAAAAAGGTATCAGATTGTAACACTTTTCAACAATTACTGACCCCAAATTAATGAAATGTATTGAGGAAATGGCATGACTCTGAACATGATGGCTCCAGATTTTATTTAAACAGATGTCAGGATATGAGGGGATGGGAGCTGGTGGTCTCACCCCAGCAACCCAGTTTCCAATACGTCCTATACTTACACTTTTCTGTAAAGAGTATAGTTAGTCGTAAGATTTGTTTCTCTTCCTGAAGTCCAGGTGCAGGCAAGTTCAGCATCAAAGTAATAAATACAGGAAATATTTCCTGGTGTGTCGGGTGGAACTACAATGACAAAGGTTAAAAAAAAAAAAAAAAAGTCCAGTAAAAATAAGTAACTTTAATGTACAACTCATTTTGTTGGTCAATAAGCAGATTATGACAAACTTCACTGTCTTGCATAGCATTTCATTTTAGAGTTTCTTACTGCCCTCAAAACTCCTCACAAAACCAAAATCAAAACCAGTCTTTCTTCCCCTAGGGAGACAGGGAGATTTTCTCCAAATACTTCTCACGAGTATTTAACTAAGTGGGCCTGAACATATTTTTGCAGTAGCTCATTAACTATCTTATATCAAACCACTACATACATCATCCTGAACCTCTAAGTATAGCCCCCACAACATGCCTGTAGCTCAAGGCCAGTCCAGAGAGTAAGAGGAAAACAAACAAACAGCACAAAAGTTCAGGAAAAGGCATTCTCTGAAAGATAAATCTCCTCTTGGTTCCTTCCCAGAATGTCCAACCACATACACTATGAGAACCCCTAATCTGAGAAGCCTGCATGACCTCAGAGTGCAGCAGACAACTTCCTGGGAAACACACCTGTATGAACTCGAAGAGATCACTAATTCTGGACTCTTTATCTTATAAGCAAGATAGCACAAAGGAAACAATCCTCTGCAATCTGTTTAGTCTGAAGACATCCATGAAAATGTAACACCCTCAAAGACTTCTTTGTTAAAGCCAGACTTCTTCATTCAGTAGAAGAAACTGTAGTTGAAAGGAAGACAACTGCACCTAGTTAAATGAACTGGCTGAAGAAGCCCTCTCCAAAATAGTACTTTTCTGTCCCACCTAATATCACACTCAAAAGATCTCTCTTTCATTGACAAACTTGTGGCACACTAAACTTCGTAGATAGGCAATACCTTCTCCTCGGTTTTATTCCACAGAGGTATTTTTCTGCATTTATTGCTTCTTTGCTAGAATAGGACCCCCAGGCATACATTAGTAGAGTCTGGACTTAACTTGTTCAATAGATTTGGTAATTTGTATACATATTTATTGTGTAACCTTCTTCATAAGAGATTGTAATTATAATTTCTTTGGAACAGAGGATCAGAGAGGAAATCCTCCCTGGAGAAAGCTAATGTTGGCTAGGCTAGACAAAAGACATAACAGAAGAGACAGACCCAGTACCCTCTGGACTCAATATAAAACCTCCAATCACTTCAGATGGCCAAAAGTCATATAAAATTACATGTATTTAAAAGTCATGTATAATTACACGTATACATATAAAATTACATGAAAAGCCAGTGTTAGTAAGGAATGCCTGCAATTTCATGCTTTATTTCAGGAAAAAAAAAGATATTTGAATACAGGTGTCTTACAATGCCACAAGCTAAAAAAAAAAAAAAAATGTAGTTGTTTTAACACTAAAATTTTTACAGTAAGTTATTAAAAAATGTTAAAATTAATTTTTCTGCATTTATACTTACAGCCAGATTTAACTTCAGTGTGAACCAAAAGTTGTTCCTTGCCCAAGTACTTAGTGAAACATTTCACATGAGCTTTGCTGTATGTGAAGTTATGGATGGTTATACTAGATACAGTCTCATTCACAATGTTATAGTTTTCCTGAGAAATCAATTCATGATTCAATTTCCAGATGATGTGGCTTGCATTTCTGTGAGGTGTGTAGCGTTTTCCAAGAATACAAAATAGTTTCAGGGTGGATCCTCTTTCAATTTCAGGAGATGAAGGAAAAATGTCAGCATCTCTGATAGATTTTTCATCTAAAACCAAAATCAAAGATATCACATAACCTCACTCCTATTAAAATACCAGTGGAAAAATGATAACTGATTTTACTGTCAACAGATCATTTAATTAGATTTTTTTCATATGGACTTCGAATAAAATGCTCAGGTAGTGACTTGAGTAAGATATTGCTGTTTGGAAACTCAGTTCACATTTCTTACTATATTTCCGTAAGTATTATATAAGAATAATGTTTCTATACTTTCCCAGAAATAATGTAGAAATTTCAACTCTAATTTTTTTAATAGCTGAAAATGAAGGAAAGAGACACTAATCTTTTAAATCTGTTTTTAAAAAACATTCCTATATGCAAAAGGTATGCGTACCATTTAAATGTTAGCATTACTAATTACTATATCAGAAAACACATCAAACTGTTTAAAATTTACAACTAAGTTCCAATATATTTCAATATATTACTAGTACTTTTAGCCCTCATAGCATTTATATTCCCAGACACAGTGAAGGAACTGTATACAAAATGCATGTAAAAGGAAAACACAGAAGCAGGCTGAATTTATAAATTCAGAAACATAGTTATCAAACAGTGAAAGTATCACCCATTAGAGTCCTGAAAGGAGCTAGCTGTATATATTTTGCTGCCCTTATTTCATGAAACCAAATTTCATAAATAAATCTGTTAAATAAAACTAAAACCTCCCAAATTTTACAGATAGAATTTTTTTGCTAGAATGTAGGAATGAAAGGGAATCAAATATTAAACTTTATTCCTTGTTTTCTGCTAATTCTCTCCTTCTTTGGGTGTATTAACTGCAAATTGCTTTCTATATTTCTTTTTGTGTCCTTTTTGTTTCAAAGTCATTTATGTTTCAAAGTCATGCTAGTGGCTATTTACACTCTGCTGCACAAATTCTACTGTATATCAGTTGTAAGCAATTACCTGCACTGGTTCACATATCGTTCAAGCTTCTACAAACATATGCACTCCTCTTCCATTAATCCCCAAATAATTTAAGGCAAAAATATCATTATTTAATAAATTATTGTTGTGTGTGAAGTTGCATGTGATAAATTGCATGTGAACTTTCAATTATTGTCATAAAGTCATTATTTCAATCTGTGATTTCCTATTGTAGCCTATACCATTGAACTTAATCACTGTAAAGTGGCATTACTGTCACAAGAAGCATTTTTAATCCTCAGCCACTCATTCACTGCTGTTACCCACTTTGTATGCCAGAAATGCTTAAGAAGGAGAAGAGGGAGAGGGGGAGGGGGATGGAGAAGAGGAGGAAGAGGGGGAGGGGGGGGGAGAGGGAGAGGAGGGAGAAGAGGGAGAGAAAAAAAAAGAAAGAGAAAAAATAAATTTAAAAAGAGAAAAAATGAAAAGAAAAAGGAAAAAATAAAGAAAAAATTTAAAAAATAAAAAATTAATTAAAAAATAATAAATATGAAAAAATAAAAAAAATCAGTAGTCACACATTATTAGGTGACTTTTAAAATTAGGAATGAGAACATTAACAATCATTGCATAAATCTCTGAATAGGTAATATCTGACTTAAAACAGTTCAAACCTAGCAGACATTAACTGGATTTTTATCATGATCACAATTAACATTCCACAAGAGGACATCAAGAGTGCCATAAATTAATATCTCTCTATATAATGTGCACTATTTAGTCAGTCACCTACTAACTGCAATTTTTAAAATACACTTTTTTCTTTTTCAGAACTCTTAAAAATTTAATCTGGGGAAGGTCACCTTTTGGATAACTTTCTTATGGTAAGACAGATGCTAATAATCAAGAAACATACCTGCTATACAGCTGCAGAGCAGGACGAACATCCAAATCAGACAGTTGCACATTTCCTTTTCAGTAAGTATGGGTAGCAAGTGCTGTCATAAAATAGAAATAAAATACTTCAAGTAAATACTTTGTAAACATTTGTGTAAGAGTTAATAATGCTTTTCAGCATTTCTCACTTGCATTCAAGTTAAGTATTGCTTTGTCTAAGTGTTATTTACCTGCACAGTGGGAGAAACTTGATGCAGTTTTCCTAAGATAAGTGCACGTGTTTCTTATAAAGAAGAGAGAGGTAAGTGTACCTGAAAGCCAATTCACCTAAGTAATTTACCTTCCAAGGACCATGGTAAAGAATTGGTAAGAAATATGTCTACTTCTATGTGAAATCTAGCCTGCCTAGCCATCTTCTCAGCAGATTCACTTAGTAGAGTGAATTCTTTTGAAAAGGAAGGCTGTTGCAAGAGAAGGAATGATCCGCATCTCTTGTGCATCTCCACCTAATAAAACAATTGTTCAGGAAGTGAGCAAAAATCCCAGGTCACCATCCACCTGAGAGAGGGTGAATCCACGTTTTGTTTTATCCCAGCTAAGTGTCCCAGGCACCAGACTTAACGACACTCTGCAAAAGGCAAGGGAAGGTACCTCTGTTTGGCTTGCTCTTTGAAGCTGAACTGCTGTGCAGCCAAAAAAAAAACCCGAAACTCTGGGACAAGGAGAAAAGCAAAGAAGTAGAATGATTTCTTTCTAAAGGTACATCTGAATCTATGATTCCAGGGGCAAAATTACAGAAAACAACCACTCCCCTTGCCTCAAGCACTCAAGAGCTGTCATACAGAATCACAGAGTGGTTGAGATTGGAAGGGACCTCTGGAGGTCATCTGGTCCAACCACTCTGCTCAAGCACAGCCACCCAGAGCCAGTTGCCCAGGAGCATGTCTAGATGACTCTTGAAGATCTCCAAGTATGGAAAGTCCACAATCTCTCTGGTCAATCTGCCAAGTGCTCAGTCACCCTCACAGTGAAAATGTGTTTCCTGATGTTCAGTGGGAGCCTCTCGTGTTTCAGTTTGTGCCCACTGCATCTTGTCCTGTCACAGGGCACCACTGGAAAGAGCCTGGCTCTGTCTTCTCTGCACCCTCCCTTCAGGTACTGGTGAGATCCCCCCTGAACCTTCTCTTCTCCAGGCTGAATAGTCCCAGCTCTGTCAGATTTCTTCCATATGGCAGATGCTCCAGCCTCTTAATCATCATAGTGGCAGTTCACTGGACTCCCTCCGGTATCTCCACATCTCTCTTATACTGAGAAGTCCAGAACTGCACACAACACTCCAAGCATGGCCTCATCAGTGCTGAGCAGAGGGGAAGGATCACCTTCCTTGAGCTGTTACAATCCTCCTAACACAGCCCAGGATACCACTATTTTTCTCTTGCACAAGGACATATGGCCAGCTCATGTTCTACCTGGCGTCCACCAGGACTCCCAGGGCCCTTTCTGCAAAGCTGCCCTCCAGCTGGTCAGCCCCCTGTCTGTACTGGTGGCTGTGGTTTTTCCTCCCCAGATGCAGGATTTGGCACTTCTCCTTGTTGAACTTCATCTCTGGATGGCAGTGCAACCCTCTGACATATATCAGCCATTCCTCCCAATTTTGCCAACAGCCGACTTGCGGAGGGTATGCTCTGCCTTATCATCCAGATCATTAATGAAGATGATAAACAAGACAGGATCCAGTATTGATCCTTGGAGTACACCACTACTCGATGGCCTCCAAACAGACTTTGTGCCACTGGTCACTACCCTCTGGGCCCATTTGTTCGGCCAGTTTTCAATCCACCCCACTGTCTTCATCCAGCTCACACTTCATCAGTTTGTCTGTAACAACCCCTGTCTGTGAAGCAGCCCAACTCCAACATGAAGGGCAGAATATGCTGCAACCCAGATGACTCATTTGGGTAGTAGGTATGAGGTCTGCCTATAGAAAACAGAGATTTCAGATCCCCCTCAGCATACAAGGGCCTAGGGCCCAGTATTCCTACTTAGTGGACAAGTAGCTCTAGCTACTATGTTCATAAGCAAAAGATGGGGATTACTATTGCTGTAGTTAGTTAGGATGCCTGTTTCACATTAGGTTTTTAGATTTATCTGAGGAGTGAGCTGCTGGAATTTCATCTCTCCATGCAAACCTATAGGTTAGGAGGGCTCCAGGTGGGAGGCAAGTGCCATCTCCTTAGAACCAGCAGCTTTCAGACCACACAAGGGATCTCCTCCTCGCACAGGGTCAGGCAATGCTCGGAAGCAGGTCTGCACCAGGTCACTCTCTGGGACAGAGATCTATGGGTGGGATATAGGCAGAAGAGTTTCTGCCTTACATTATGTTCCCTTCCAAAAAAATGTATTGGTTTTGCAACAACATAAACTTTTACAGTAACCTAAGAGACAAACATAGTAAAAAAAATTATTTCTGCTCAGTGTCTGCCAGAACTCATTTTAAACATTATTTTCAGTCTGTCTCAGAAAGCACTTACAAACTTTGAGGTTATAACAGTGTAAAACAGGAGAAAAAAAATGAAAGACACATGTGATCAAAAGAGAAATTAGGGAAGAATTTGCCCAGTGACACACTCCTAAAGTAGAGCTGTAGCAAGATGTGTACCAACAAGAAATAAAGCAAGCATGGGAATCTACTGCTTTAATTACCTAGGGTATAAGATCTTGTTCTCAAATCAGTAAAGATGAATTATGCTATTGATGGCCATAAACCCCAAAAACCTTCAGAAATTATTCCAAGTGTTCTGCACCAGTAGGCGCAGAATTAAAAACAGATGCAGATTTAAAAATATTTAGTTATTTTTAAATTTTAGAATCAATATAGTCCACAACAAAGTTGATGAGATACTAGAAGTTCCACCCTGTTAAACCTAAGAATTGTCCTGGGTTGAGTGAGTGGTGGGGGTTTTTGGTGGCAGGGGAGGGGGCTATAGGGGCGGCCCCCTGTGAGAAGCTTCTCAAAGCTCCCCCAGCTCTAAGTCAGCTCCACTTCTGTTTGGAAAATTGAGCCAATCAGCTGCGTCTCTGCAATAATGTATGTAAGAAGGGACGTGGTGACGTGCAGTCGGACTTGTGAGGAGGAGTTGCTACAGCTGCGTGAACACCAAGGTCAGTGGAGGAACGGAGGAAGAAAGGAGGGGGGAGGTGTGCTGGAGCAGAGACCCCCCTGTATCCTGTGGGGAGACAGCAGGGCGGCCCCCCCTGCCACCCATGGAGATCTACGGTGGAGCAGACACTGATTTATGGCCTGTGGCTTCTGCTTGCCTGATCAAGGTGCTGTGCCCAAAGAAGGCCGGGGTCTTGTGGGAAAAGGCAGCCCCGCTGCTGTAATTCAGCACTGGGAGGATTGCAGCATGCGGGGGTGTCCCACGCCGGAGCAGCTCGGGAAGGGCTGCAGCCGTGGGAGGGAATCCAGTTGGAGGAAGTTAGTGACCCATGACGGAGCAGTGTAAGGAAATGCTGCAGCCCATGGGAGGAACTCAGGTCGGAGAAAGTTTGTGGAGGACTGTCTCCTGTAAGAGGGGGACCACAACAGAGCAGGGGGAACAAGTTCCAGAAGCTTCCCCCACCAAAGATGGAAGAAGTGGCAGCACTGACTGCACACCCATTCCCTGCCCCTGCGCTGCTGGGGGAGGAGGTAGAGAGATCGGGAGCAGAGCTGAGGCCAGGAAGAAGAGAGGGGTGGGGGGAAGGTGTTCTCAAGATGTGGCAATGCTTCTCGCTGTCCTATTATGTTAAGTGTTGTTGTTAGTGTCTGTAATAAATGTATGTTCTGGTTTTCTTCTCATAACGAGTCTGCCTGTTGCCAGTGACCATAATGAGTGGTCTGCCCCTCCCGGTCCTATCTTGAATCCCAAGCCTGGCTCACTCGTCCCTTCTCATCACTGGAAGAGAAGGGAGGAGTGAGCGGCTGCGCGGTGTTGGGCTGCGAACCAGGCTCAAACCACAACAAGAATATATTTTGTAAGCACTAAAATGTGTGTTTATTCTTATTAAATTTTTAAAACTTTAAGAAAGTTACCTAAGTAAAAGAATCAGTCCCAAAGTCACAGCTACAAGAAAACTACATTCTGTTAAAAATTAAAGAAAAATCATAATAACGACTCTAAAAGAGGCTTTGGCAACTTCATAGGCATACACACCAATGATCGTTATACAGCTGTATGAACACTAATGTGGTCAGTACTTCATTATCTAGGATACTAGTAGTTGCAGAAAACCAACACATGTCAGAGAGGATTATCAACATCAACAAAACTAAGCAAAATAACGAAGAGCACTACAAGATGTTGTACCTAATCAAAACTATCTGACAGAGCAGGAATGATCAGCCAAAGACAAATCAATAATGAGTTACAGATGGTACACTGGCATAAGCATTTCTTTAAAAACTTTAAAAAACAAACATTTTTATTAGCCAAATAAAACAGTTTTGCAACAGCTGTATGAATATGGCTTTAATCTTGGAGGTTATACTCATTCATGAGAATACCAAATACTCTCTGTGGTATGTAAAGATAAGCACATGTATAGTTGTTTACAGGGAAGAGCTTAAGGAACTTAACATAAATAATAAAACTCTATTCTTTCTTTTCTGTTGTCTTAACTGATAGCAACATGCAATAAAAGCCCACTGTGTATTCGGTATTGTAAAGACTTTATGAAGTAAAAACAGTAGTTCAAAATACAGGTTTTCCATCTGTCTGCATCAGACACAGAATACAAGGTTTACATATTATGGCTGTGACTAATGAAAGAATTTCCCCTAGATTGACTTATTCCCTAGATTCACCAAATATAACTAGACAGTAACAAAAAACAACAAAAATTTGCCATATGGCTAGATAACAGTATGTCAAGAACAACTACTTCCAGATCATATAGGCAGCAGCATTTCAAATATACGCAACTATAAAAGAATCAAGCAAAAGAGAGAAAAGCAATGTCATCACTGAACAGCTGTCAATACTGAACTTGATTACACTGCTCTCAGTAAAAAGTGCTAATAGGTTTTCCTGCTTTGTGTACTACTCAAAAAAACCCCTCA